GCAATGCCCAGAGTAACAAACACAACAACAAACTGTACCTTACTGCCCCACATTTGGTCAAACACACACACACACAAGCACACACGCACACAAGCACACACGAACACACAGTAACACGCAGTGGCGCACAGATACTGAAAGGGGGGTTAAAAATCGGGGTGGGAGAAAAAAAGTGCTGCAGTGAACAATTGTGTTCAGTGCATATCATTTGGTTAAAAGGATTCGTTTTACTCTTCCGTGTGGTTCGGACTCCAGTTACCGCCCCAAACTGAAACTGTGTATGTGTGTGTATGCGTGTGTGCATGTGTATGTGTGTGTGTGTGTTCGCTTGGGTCTGTGTGTGTCTGCGAGTGTGTACAAATCAACTAATCTGCTCCCCACGGCAAAGTTACGAGAAGACCGACAATTATATCCGCTCTCTGCTCACAATTTTTGCATGTCGTAAAGTTTCTAGTGCTGCACAGCTCCAATTCACTCCCTCCACTCCCCTCACTCCCCACTCATACATAGGTATGTCTTTCCCCCTATATGTTTGTCTGTATGTACATGCATGGCTGCAGTTTGCCACTAACGGAACTGAAATGGCAACTAACATACGTATGCTGAATTTTTTGAATGCCCTTTCCCGGTTTTATTTTCCTTTCCGGGAAAATGCTGGGATTTTCGTTGTGAAGCAGGAAGCAATTGGATTGATGTCCCTTGGGTGACAAGAGACTGATACAATGCATGATCAGCAGCTCGAACTTTTGAAAGTGCAACTAGACCTGCAAAAGCCTGAACATATGCCTAAACTAGTAGTTTATGAAAATATATATTACTGTTCCCTTTTTTTCCCTTTTTTTATTTAAAAAAATAAGGCTAAATAATGTTAAATAATATACATATATGTTTTATGTTTATAATCAGTCTATTTTACTAAAATATGTAATCCTATGCATAAAGCTATAACTTTAACATATTCTATATCCATTTTAAAATGAAGGCTCTAATACTTTTAAAAATAAGGAGATCTTTTCATTAGTTTCAGATATTCAAAGATACATTTACTGCCAAAGGGCATCTAAATTTAGCCCATTTCATTTAATTCGGAAATTTCCAATGCTGTTGCATACTTTCGAGAGCAGTGAGCTGCACAGCACGTATATATGTATCTGTATCTGTATCTGTATCTTCGCCGGTAGCTGTGCCTGTGCCTGTGTCTGTGTCTGCCTCCGTGTCCGTGTATCCTTGCTGCCAGGACTGTTGTGTCGAGTGTGAATCTGCCCTGGCATTACTGTTTGTATTGCAAAAGTTGTTGTAACTTCGTTAAAATAAGCACTCTGTTAGTTTGCCCGCTGGTGCGACGGGAAGGCTCCCCTTTTCCATGTCCCAGTCCTTTTTACACAGCACCTCCTTCCCTGAAGTTCGTCTGTGTGTGTGTGGGTGTGTGTGTGTGAGTGTGGGGGCAATGCAGCAGATTTGTCGGCGGTTTTTGCCATTACTGCTATGCCGGCTAGTCCTGCTAGCCACTCCACTCTTCGTCCTTCCGCCCGCCTTTTGAACGCCCCGATACTTGGCATATCTGCATTAGTAATGGTGAGTGGCGGCGAGTGCCAGGCAAATTGGGTGGATTTGGATTTACCTGCTCGTCGCCGGCTTTGACAGCCGTGTGTGCTCCGCTTAGCTATTTCCCTTTCCCGTTCCCGTTCCCAGCACCCCCACCCCCCCTCCATTCTGCCCCAATGTGTAGCAACATGGCTGCGAGGTAAACTTAACATTTAGTTTTCGGGCGTCAGCTCCTTGGTGGCTATTAAATTGCAGCAACTCCTAATGGCGCTCCCCAAGCAGCACACTTCCTTTCGCTTTTGGCTGAGATGTGGCTGAAACAATATCGATACTTGTTAGCCAAGGCACGATAAAAGTAGTAGCAGTAAGTAGCACTATGCACTACCAGCTGCAGGATGTGTGCATTAAAAAAAAATGCATAAAGAATATGTCATTTTGGTATTTATAAAAGTCAAATTAAGGCACGCACGTACGTTTGTGTACACATCAACCATAAATGTAAATATATCATAAAGTATAAAGCAATCAAGGATTATATAAATGTTTATTGGATTGAGCGTACTTAAGTAGTGCACCTATAAAATGTTGAAAATATCAAATTAATAGTCGCAAGTACACGCAAGCTTAGACCAATTTTTAGCAGTGCTCCAGTTCTTAATAGTTGGTGCAGTGCAATACCCACCGACAACTTGTACTTAGTGCCGCTTCCTTCCGACCAACACGGAAAATTGAGAGGGGAAAACTGGAAAAGGCGAGCGGAGGAAAATGTGCAGAGGGGCGTATGTGAAAGGGGAAGTTTCGTATAGCCGGGCAAACGGGCCATCGGGCCAACGGGCCAAGAGCTCGTCGGCAGGACTGTCTGAAATGCAATTAAGTCGCATCGACATGCAATCTCCGGCGTGAGGAGGCCCGGCCGCATAAAGGACTCCGCAGGAACAACAAGTACAGCCACACGGAGCCACCGTTCGCGGCCAAAAAGGAAGTGGGGCGGTGGGGCAAGCCTTAAAAGCGCTGAAAGGTTTCAGTTATCCCCTAAAAAAAAACTCACACGCACTCGAACCAGAAGGAACAACACACACAAGCTGAAAAGGGAATCCGGCTTGACGAGGCTGAAAATACCCTCAAAGGAGAATCGCTGGCTGGGACTGTTTATAGGGCTGGTGTAAACATTACGACTGATATCAGGAATCTTGCAATTAAATAAAATAAATAAAGTGAGCATTAAAGCAAGCGGAACAATTAATTCTTTGATACCTCTAAATAAATGCATAAACATGGAAATAAAGAGGATTCAATATTACTCCCTTAATAGTAAAGTTAAAAATATTTAACCGAAAAAGGCCTCAATTTAAGCTCGTTTACTTCTAAAAGAACAACTTATTACCATTCCCGCAGAACATTCCCATTACTGAGCACAAAGAGTATCCATGCACTGCATTCCATGCCAGCAGAACATCATTCCGTCGAGGGTGGCAAACAAGATCTGGTTGCAATGGAATGCACTTATTGAAACACTTTTGAGCGCCGATAATCCAATTATGGCCTGACCAGGGGTTCCTTTTCCGGCCCTGCCTCTTCTGCCACCGGGTCCTTGTAAATTTGCTGCTCGTTTCCCCGCTTTACGTGCAGTTTTTATGGAAGACAGTGGGGGGAAAGTGCTGCAAGTTGGATGGCGAGAGTCGTGCCACCTGGGGCAACCGCGTCTCCCGCACATAATTTGCCGCAACTTATTTTGCCTTGAGTCAAGTTTCACACTAAAATGTGTAAAAGGGTCAACAGCTGCAGGGCGGCTTTATCCGCAGTTGGAGCTGGAGCAACCTCATTGGAGGCTAATCTCTGGGGTGCGCAGCTGAGGTTGGGGTTGAAAAAATAGAAAGTACTCGTACTGTGATCAAATCGAAACGAGAGTGGTAATTGAACACAATTCTCATCCCTGACAAACACAAAGGGTTAATATTTCTAGCATTTTTATGTTTATTTCATATTCAATTTTCTGTATCGATATTCATTTTCAGTTTTTCATTTGCTACTTTAACTTCTTCTTTTATTTAAATTTCGTATTTTTTAGCCGCTGCGTATTAAATTGAAAAATAATTGGAAATAAACGCTGGCTTGAATAAACATAATGAACATTCCATTCCGTTTGCTGTATGTACAATATTATTTGATAAAAATTCCATTTGGGTTTTTTATTTTTTTATTTGGGGACACGGGTTGTTGGGTAGAAAATTGAAAAACTGAATGGTTAGGTAAAAAAAATCGGCATACCAGCAGCTTTTTCGTTTGTTTGTTTTGCCATAATTCATTTGTCCACTTTGTCTCATTCAATAGTTTATTTACCAATATCATTATTATTATTTTACTTGTGCATTTTGCATCATCGTCGTGTAAACAACTACAATTAGTATCACGATTGTCATTGTTGTAACCGAAATAATATAAAAGGTAGAAAAAATGTAATTCAATGAAATGGTGAGAATGAACGCAAAAAACAAGGATACGTTTTTATTTCGTAATTTATTCCTCTCAGTTAAATTGCTTGGATTTTTGTATGTCTGTGTATGACATGATTATGCTTTTCATTATTTTACCATTATTATTATTATTTTTTTTTGACAAACTGATATGTACTTATATATGTCTGCGTGTGTGTTGTTAAAATTTGACTGCCCGTAAAGTTTGCCAACCGTTTTCTAGTTTTGCTGTTAGATGTGCAATGTCCGCTACTCTTGCTTAAAAAACAATTAATAATTGCTATCCAATAATTTTCATATTATTAGTATATATTGTTTTATATATCTCGATTTATCTAAATGTGTATTTGTATTTATATTAAATGTACTTATTGGCCTTGTCTAAATTGTAAATTATAGGCAAATAAAACTAGATTTTGTATTATTAGTTTGGTTTTGCAAATTCGTTTTAAAAATAGTTATATAACTATTATTAACATCTTATGTTTCTATGTTGTTCTATGGAGATGAAAAACTGTTTATTAACTATACTCTATGTGTGTGAGTGTGTTAGGAATCATCATATGTTCGCTGGTGTGTGTATGGTTCTGTGTATGTAATCAATTTCATTAATTACCATAAATGTTGGCCAAGACACAAAGTCATGTATTGGGCGTTGGATGTGGGAATCGGGGTAAGTAAGAGCAAGTTCAAGTTTACGAGCGGAACAAATAAGTCTTGCACAATTTTTCAACAAAAGTTATGGTCACTAATTGGAAGAAATTGTAAAAAGTAAACAAAAATGCCCAGCACATGACTTGTTCCACTACTTATAGATATACTTTCGTATGTATATAAAACTTATCAATTACGAGTGGACATAAACCGATTTGCTTGTCTTTCATTTAATTGTATCTTTATTGTTGCGGGCCTGGCTCTCACAATTAGCTAAATCCCAAAAATTCGTACCTACCGATTAGTTTAAGTTCTTCATTTTATATATATTTATATATGTACATATCATACAGGCAATGATCAGTTGAGTATCTTCAGCATTTCGGCCACAGCAGCGGAGTTGCGGAGTTGGATCGCAAACCCCTCCTATCTGTGAGTAACTTACTGCGCCGGCAACTAAAGCCAACATCAGAGGGTCATGGTGGTCATCACAATGGGTATCAGAAGGGCCATCGCGAAGGATAACAGGAATATTCGCTGGCCAGAGCTGCTCAACGCGCTCGCCTGGCAGAGCAGATCCTCGGGAAAGATCTCCAGGATGGGCAGGTGTCGACCCGAGGTTGGATCGTGGCAGGTGTTGGCACGGGCTCTCTGAGGAAATGGATTGGAATCGCATTAGCCCATTTTCACCGTAAGTTGAAATGGAACAAACTAGATTTCGATATCAGTGCATTGCCATTAAGGACACTTTATTATATAAATGAGCAAGCGATGGCAGCTACATTTTGTCTCAAATATATATTTGAGTTTAACAAAATGAAAAGTTCTCTTACTCGCCATGCACCAATATCTCAAGAAAAAGGTTTAAAATAATATAAAAGCTTACGCGCATATCGGCAATCGATAGGGGTAACTTTTGTTTGAAAATCAAGATTGACACAAGGTTAAATAGAAGGCTGAAGGCAAAGTACGTAGTCAACTGACTCACCTGAACCATGCGCTTGAGGTCATCCTTCTGGATGACCTTTATCTGGGCTGACTCCCTCAGCCATCGGCGCAGCCAGTGGCCGAACCACACCAGGCCGCACTCACATTCCAGCGGATTGTGCGATGTGATGAGTCCACCCATGATGCTCCGAGTTCCCACGGCATCCCAGTAGCTCTTGTTGGGGTAAAAACTGTCGGCGGCCAGGGCATTGATACGATTATGCGAAATGTCGATGGACAGGTGCGGCACCTCTCGCAGGGCATAAAAAATACCCGGCGGCAGGTCGGAGATGCGGGTGTGCGAGATCTTCACCTGCAATCGTTGACTTCGCGACAGCCCGATGAAGACATCCGGAGCAATGGTCTGGACATTGCTGCCATATAGCTCGAGGAGCCGGATTTTCGTGTTATTCGCCAGTTTAGCGAAGAGCTGTTGGCCAATATTTGGCTCCAGGCAGTGCACCCTCAGCTGCTGAAGACCCGGTATCCTGGCCACAATCTCACCCAGATTGGCATGCGAACTGGCATGTAGCTTCCTCAGCGAACGCAGCTTGGCAAATGCCTGCGGATTGGTTACCTTCACGTCCAGGATATTCAGCTCGGCCAGGTGCCGCAAACTGGCTAGATCGTGCAACGTTATCCTGCGCAGCGGATTGTGGGCCAGATCCAATACACGAACCGATGGCGGCAGGTGCTCCGCCGCACAGCTCGCATTCGTGAGTTTGTTGTGCGAGACATTGACGTGACGCAGGTGGCGCAGGGAACCCAGTGGTGACAGCTCTTGCAGATAGTTGCCACTCACGTCGAGGTAGGAGAGGAGGGGAAGCTTCAGCGGCGGCAGGACATACAGACCCATGTGGTGGAGGCTCAGTTTCCTTAGGCGCGGCGTGTGGACAAACACCTCCCGCAGGTTGGTCGTCACCAGGGGATTCTGTGACAGGTCCAGGTTGGTCAGATTATTCAGAAAACTGAACGTGTTGTCCGGCAGAATGGTGATGCGGTTGCGGGCCAAGCTGATGTCGTACAGGAACTGCGAGTTGATGAACATCGAGGCATCCAAGTACTCCAGATTGTTGTGCGACATCTGGATGGAACGCAGAGTGAATCCGATGTCGGTAAATGCCGGAACTGGCCAAACGCTCAACTGATTCTCGGCAATGTCCAGAAACTCCAGCCGCGTGTTCATAAACACTTCTCGTGGCAGAGCCCTTAATCGATTCGCGTTGATGCGCAGGATTCGCAGCTTCCTTAGGTTCGAGAACTGCTCCACCTGCAGCTGGTCCAGCTGGTTGTGACTTAGATCCAGTTCCTGCAAACTATTTAAGCCCTGAAAGCTGCGACGCCTCAGCGAGCTGAGATTATTGTGAGCCACATTAAGAATCTCAAGGAACTCCAGGTCACCAAAGGCATGGCTCTGTAGGGAACCCAGCTGATTGTGGGCCAAGTTAAGGAACCGCAGCGTGTTCGCCAGATTTGTAAAGCTATCCGACTTGGTCACATGGTTGTGACTAATGTCCAGCTGATAAATATACATGTAGCTGCTCAGCTCGTCATAAAAACTGGCTATGTGATTGTGGCTCACATTGAGTCGTAACGGAGTTGTGGTGTTTGAAACATAAAGAAAGGATTTTAGGGACAGCGAGCACAGCTGATTGTGCATCAGATCCAGGGCAGCCAGATTGGGCAGCACCGTGAAGGCGCCATGGGAGATGTTGACCAGGCGATTATACGACAAATCCAAGTAGCGTAGGAACTCCAAGTTGTGAAAAGCATGGCGAGCTATGGTCCGCAGGCGGTTCGATTGCAAATTGAGTGTCTGCAAATCCCCGAGGCTGTGAAACGTTTGCGCTTCGAGTCGCTCCAAGGCATTGTACGACAAATCGATTTCCACCAAATGACTATGAGCATCGGACTGAAAGAGTCCGCGGGGCAGTGTCTTGAGCTGGTTGAAGCTCAGATTGATGTAGCTCAATTCCCGCATCTGTGCGAACGACTCATTCGAGACCTGCTTCAAATTGTTGTTGTCCAGACCCAGCCAAATGAGCTGGGAAAGTGGCAAGAGGGCATCCAGGGGGTCCAGGCTCTCCAGGCTTCTGGCCGGGAAGACGGCGAACGAGAGCTCCAGGATCTTGAGGGTTTTCGAAACATTCTCAAAAACCAACGGATGATGTATGGTAATATCGTTGAAGCTCAAGCTGATCTCCTGAATTTGGTCTAGTCCCGCAAAGGATCCCAAATGAAGATGCGTTATCTTATTATTTCGCAGCAGTATTGTCTGCAAATTGCTGCCCCAGGAATCCGCGGCAAAGATTCCCTCGGGGATGTCCGTTATAGAGTTGTAACCCATATTCAAGTAGGAAAGCTGTGTGTAGTTTTTCAGGCCGAGAACAGGGATCATGGTGAAATTGTTGCCACTCAGACTGAGAACGCGTAGATTTTCCGTGAACGAGGGCAGATTGTGCAGCTGACTAATCTGATTGGAGGTCAGATAGAGGTATTTTAGGTGATGCAAGGAGGATAAGGCCACGGGCACGGTGGTGAGTCGGTTTCTCTCCAGATCCAGATACTCCAGGGTGTCAGTGAGACCCTCAAAGGCCGATGGATGCACTCTGCTGATCGCATTGAAGGCCAGTACTAGATGGGCTATGCCCGTGGCCTTGAACACCGCCTCTGGCAGCTGGGTGACAAAGTTCTGCTCCAAATTTAAAGCTCTCAAATGAACATCGGAATAGTTCTGCTGGAAATAGTCGGACTCCAGGCTTTCAATGCAGTTCTGGCCGAGATCCAGGCGTTCCAGATGCATTCGCAGTGGCCTCACCTGAAGTTCTTTCCACTGCACACTGCGTATAAGGTTATCCCTTAGACTGACGATTCGCAACTCCGGCAGTTGTTCGAAGAGCTGCTGGGGGAAAACTGTAAGCAGATTACTGGACAGATCCATGGTCACCAGCGAACGCGGCAGATAGTTTCCGGCCACATGGTAGATCCGATTGTTGGACAAATCCAGCCAAAGTAGTTTTTGCAACTGCTCGAAGGGACGACCCCCCGTCGACCGATCACCAGAGCTCGGAGATGGTGGGTAAATTGAATTACTCGCTTCCAGTCTGGTCTGCACAGCGGCCAAACTGGAAGGCTGCGAGCTGTTGTCGTTGTGGGAAATTACTTCCACTGTCCCACCACCCGGCGCCACTTCGGTTATATCGTTGTCGGATAAATGTAGGGATCGAAGGGTATCATGCTGGGCATCCCAGTTTCCATCCAAGGTGGTTATGTGATTGCTGAAGAAGAGATAAATGTATTTTTATGAACTTGAGTTAATCTTACTTTTCTAATTAGTCCCAAGGCAAGTCATTTTATGTTAAAATAGTGGTTCGACTTACCGTTGCGCCACCAGTCGCGAGAGGGAATGCAATCGCTGCAGTGCATCCAGTGGCAAGTGCTGCATCTTGTTGCCAGATATATCCAATGTCATGAGCGAGTGGGTCATCGTGCTGCAAAGGGAGAAGTGCGATGAAGTCGAGGACGAAACAGGGCACCACGCCTATCTGCATAAATATTATCCAAATCATTCCACACGAACTGCAGGGGGGGCTGTTATCAAAAATATATAATGGCCAAAACTTTCACTAAAACTTTTGTTCACAACTATCAACAGTTTCCGCTTGGGTCTGCTACCTCCCCTCTCCCCCCCATACATCGGATTCCCCATACCATGGCTCATATAAATTGACGTGCTGCCTGCCTTTTGACATACACCACACACAAGTCGGAAAACAAATATTTAAACTTAATTAACGCGTAGCAACGGCGACCCAGGCGACCCCAGCTGCCTCCCCGTGGTACCCACTTCACTTCCTCTCTAGGCCCCATTAATAGTTATACACACGCACCGCAAACTCACCAAACGCACACACACACACACACATGTGAGCAATGGAGTGGACCACATTCGAACTTAAAGTTTTTATGATTCTTTAAGCTACTTATTTAATGCATGGTAATAAAATGTTTCAGACTGCTTTTAATGCATGCAAGTTAGTTATAAGTTATAGTTTTGTTACTTTTAACAAAAGTATTTATTTACAGCTCTTGTTCCTTATATAATATTATTATAAAATAATATAATAATAGTCGTTTGCATTGAAAGGGTAACTGGTTTCTTTTATTGGCTAACCCGACGTATACTTAATATTTGACATAACACATACGCAGTGTTGACACACTTCGCCATGCAAATAAACCCTTACTTGTGGATATTATAAATTGCAATATGGAATAATATGCAATATTGTATAGTACTGATATCCTTTTTAGGAATATTCTCTACTAAGGTCCACCCTCATTTCACAGCAAGGAACTGCAGAGAGAAAACGAAACAGAGGTCGGGGAAACAGCGACCTCAATTATGAAAACCACGAGGTTTTCCAAACAAGTTCCAGCCTCCTCCTTAACGGCAATAAGAAAAACAAGCGCAGCGGCATCCTTTTGTAGTTCTCGGTGTTGTTGTTGTTGTTTCCAGGGACTTGTTGTTGTTTATGCGACGAGGAATCAAACGCAAAACCAAATTCTTGCGGCTCCTTTAAACCACTTTGCGCCACTCGCTCTCCTGGTCTTTCTTTGCTTTCCTTGCTTTCCGGCTTTCTTTCGCCATTTGCCGGTAGTTTTTGATGTTATCCTGGTTTATATAGTATCTTTGCGTGTGTGCGTAATTCGATGCGTGCGAGCGGTTTCATTACCCAAAGAGACCTAAACAACTATTGGTAACGATTTAGGCGTAAATTAGACCCACAATAAGCTATATTTAGTAAGCATTTTAAGTTTCATTTCTGAGTTCTTCTTTACAAAATTCAATAGAAACTTAAATACATTTAATGACAAATTCTTATCAACTAATTTTAAATCATTTTTTTCGCATAGAAACCGATACATATATACATATTGTATATTTAGGTAAATTCCTTTTGGGCAATGTGAAGATAGATAGATAGTTAGATAGATGAATAGATATAAATCGAGAATTTATAACGCATTTTGCGGTTTCCTTTATTTTTGTAAACATACTAAGATACAATACTAAGACTACAATAATTACAAGGTTATTTAAAAATATTTTTTGTTGTATACTTTTTCAACGGTAGTAACCTTTCTGTCGTTCCAATTCCATTGAAATCACCCACTAGCATGTCACTGCGGCATGTACATATGTGCTATGTATTCGGAATACCGGAGAAGTGCGCATTTATCGGCACTTTGCAACTGAACACGCAACAAACACGTAACACAACAAGCCAATCCATACACAGAGCCACACAACCTTAATGGTATGTGCGTGTGCTTAATTTAGCAATGTATGTAGCCCTGTAAATTATTAATTAGCAATTTTTGAAATACATAAGTCTTGAAATATTGATGGGAACTTTTACATATGGCATCATAGTCCGCAACTGAAAATGGAATCAAGTCTTCACGTGAGTGTTCCCTTGTCGGTAATAAAGGCAACCAGATGCACAAATGTATATAATTGGAAGTTCAGACTACATATGTATGTGGGTATCTGTGAATGAAACCTTAACGGACCACATATTGCGGTCAAGAGCGAGTAACTCCTCAAACATGGGTTGTTTAAGGTCAGCAAAGGTAAATACAAGGGGCGGTGAGCAGCGGCTTGTGTATATGTCAATTTGCACTTTTAAAGTTGAGTAACATGTTGATGTGCAAAATTTGTTGATACTTTAAATATGCATCCAAGCACTGAAATATGAAGCATATATATGGGCTAAAATTACACACCTGTATCTAAGCACTGAAATAGATTTCCATTTCTAAGCTTATTTATAAAATAACTCCATAATGAGTTATTAAAAATAGCACTTTGCTACATTTGCCAAGATATTTTTAGTGAAAATTTTTAATTTAAGCCCACACAACCTTTCCACTAATAGTCATTGCGGCGGGAGTTTATTATGCAGAGCATTTCAAAGGTTATAGGTAAAGGGGTAAGTGTGTGGAAAAAGCCGAGTGAAGGTAGACCTTAACCACATTTGCCAGCCTTATGAGCATTAATTAGTTTGATTTAAATTCTTAATGCCATCGGAGTGTGTAACTGTGTCTTTGGCCAACTACCCCTCCCTTTTCCCTTTTTCCTCTTTTTCGCCGGAAACTGCACACAGCCGTTAACTGTGGCCTTCCATTAAACTTTAGCAGCTTAATGTGTGTGTGCGGGTGGGCGGTCGCCTGCGGTTAAGGGGCGTGACCCCAACTCTGGTTATCCTTTGTGCTCGTTAAAAAATTTTCGCGTTTCATTTCATGGCAACAAAAAGCGTATAAGATGAAGAGCAGAACAAAAAAAAAAAAAACCCAAAAAGGCTGGCAAATGCGGTCGACTCTTTCCCATGATTTCTCCCATTCCCATTCTACACACACAAAATAACGTGGCCAAAAGGAAAGTTGCCGCCCCAGTCAAATGTGTGATGTGTAATGCGAACTGAATCACAAAACGCTGACGAAATACGAGCCTGTGTTCACTGTACTACAGTCTGCACAGCAAGTACATTTTTCCTCACGTATGTTAACTTTTTCTCTACTTGGCCGTTTACACTTTAACGGGGTTTCATAAATTGGTAAGCTCTTCGGACCAAAACGTTTGACTTTATTAGCTTTTTATGAAAAGCTTTTAAGCAAAAATTAAACATGGCCAGTCTGTTAGGCTATAGATGATTTCATATAAAGCATAGTAGCCAAACATTGGAAGGCTTATGTTTTGTTGCAATTAAAATGTAATATTCAAAACATAGAGCTGAGAATTTCTGTTCATTTATCCTTGAGTTATTTTAGGGTAGAGCATTTATTTATTCGGCTTACCGCTTAAAATTTACCCTTACCTATTCTCATCTTGCTCTCCTTTTCTCTTTTTGTGATTATTTACACTCAAACAAGTAGCGCTTGAAAGTTTTTCATTTTCTCTGGCATTTTTTTTTGTTTTTTGCGTTTTCCGCTGCGTGTGTGAGTTTGCATTTCCCGCTTGCATTTTCAGCCTGAGTGCCCCGCTGAAAACGCGACGCCACCACCCGTCCTCGCTTTGTTAAACTTAATTTTACGCCTTTTTTACAACTTGCAGGTTTATGTTGTAAAAATATACAAAGCACTCTTCACCGGCAGACACACGCATGCACACACACTCTCACGCGCCCAGGTGGAAAAAGGGGTCATGTAAATAGGCCGGCCAACTGTCCTGTCATCATTTCCCTTTCCCGGCAGGTGTGCAGGCTTGGGCTTCGGTTTGGGCCACCATCTCCAACTCCAATTGCCCAACTGCCAACGTGACTCGCCTCTTTTCCAGTGGAAGGCACTCACCTGAAACTCCGCTCGGATATATCCTGCAGTTCGTTGTCGATTAGCTTCAGTGTCTTGAGACGCAGTCCCTGGAAGGTCTCATCGTCGACACTTTGCAGATGTGTGTTGGACATCTCGATGTAGCGCACACTGCTGTGCATGAACTCTGCGGAGGAACGGGAAGACAAGATATATGGATCAGAGATATTACAGAACAAAAATGGACATTTTATAGGAAGCAGAAATCTATATGTATATACACTGAAGAATTTAAATCACCATTTTACCAGGGAAAAGTCTTTTTTAACACCAAGAAATCGCCATAAAATATTAATACAAAGTATATAAACCATATATTGGAGGAAAAGTTCTAGTACTTAATAAATATTTCCCCATGTATTGAGTGGAATTGTGTTAGAGAGAGGTATGCCACAAAAAAATTACAAAAAAATAAAAAAAAAATAAGTTTTTAAATTTGAATGCAGATTTTTAGAGAATTGCTCCAGAAACATTTAGAGGTATGCCACTTAAAAATCCGATGAGTATAAGTTGAGTTATGGAGTATAGAGCTTCAGCCTTGGGACATTTTAAATTTTTTTGAATTTCTACATCAGAAAAATTACAAAAAAAAAGTAAAAAAAATTAATTTTTAAATTTGAATGCAGATTTTTAGAGAATTGCTCCAGAAACATTTAGAGGTATGCCACTTCAAAATCCGATGAGTATAAGTTGAGTTATGGAGTATAGAACTTCAGCCTTGCGGCATTTTTTAATTTTTTTGAATTTCTATATCAGAAAAATTACAAAAAAATTAAAAAAAAATAAATTTTTAAATTTGAATGCAGATTTTTAGAGAATTGCTCCAGAAACATTTAGAGGTATGCCACTTCAAAATCCGATGAGTACAAGTTGAGTTATGGAGTATAGAGCTTCAGCCTTGGGACCTTTTTTAATTTTTTTGAATTTCTAGATCATCATACATCGAAAAAATTACAAAAAAATTTAAAAAAAATTAATTTTTAAATTTGAATGCAGATTTTTAGAGAATTGCTCCAGAAACATTTAGAGGTATGCCACTTCAAAATCCGATGAGTATAAGTTGAGTTATGGAGTATAGAACTTCAGCCTTGGGACCTTTTTTAATTTTTTTGAATTTCTAGAACATCATACATCGAAAAAATTACAAAAAAATGTAAAAAAAATTAATTTTTAAATTTGAATGCAGATTTTTAGAGAATTGCTCCAGAAACATTTAGAGGTATGCCACTTCAAAATCCGATGAGTATAAGTTGAGTTATGGAGTATAGAACTTCAGCCTTGGGACATAATTTCATTTTTTTGAATTTCTACATCAGAAAAATTACAAAAAAATTTAAAAAAAATACATTTTTAAATTTGAATGCAGATTTTTAGAGAATTGCTCCAGAAACATTTAGAGGTATGCCACTTCAAAATCCGATGAGTATAAGTTGAGTTATGGAGTATAAAACTTCAACCTTGGGACATTTCTTAATTTTTTTGAATTTCTACATCAGAAAAATTACAAAAAAATTTAAAAAAAATAAATTTTTAAATTTGAATGCAGATTTTTAGAGAATTGCTCCAGAAACATTTAGAGGTATGCCACTTCAAAATCCGATGAGTATAAGTTGAGTTATGGAGTATAGAACTTCAGCCTTGGGACATTATTTCATTTTTTTGAATTTCTACATCAAAAAAATTACAAAAAAATTAAAAAAAAATAAATTTTTAAATTTGAATGCAGATTTTTAGAGAATTGCTCCAGAAACATTTAGAGGTATGCCACTTAAAAATCCGATGAGTATAAGTTGAGTTATGGAGTATAAAACTTCAACCTTGGGACATTTCTTAATTTTTTTGAATTTCTACATCAGAAAAATTACAAAAAAATTTAAAAAAAATAAATTTTTAAATTTGAGTGCAGATTTTTAGAGAATTGCTCCAGAAACATTTAGAGGTATGCCACTTCAAAATACGATGGGTATAAGTTGAGTTATGGAGTATAGAACTTCAGCCTTGGGACATTTTTTAATTTTTTTGAATTTCTACGAGTAACGGGTATAATTATATAAATATACCATATATATGAGGAAAAGTTCTAGTACTTATAATCTAGCGCCTATAATTCATATATCCCCATGTGTTGCGTGGGATTTGCTTCAATATTGGATGTTCTCAATGTATCCAAGTGCCTACGCAAAGTGAGAGACGTCGCCGCGATGGCGGCTATCAGTTCATCATTCAAATTGATTTTAAACGGCATTCGAAGCGTTTACCATAAACGAGGGAATATGGACAGCCCATCGCAAATTCCCTATGCCACCAGATACATAGATGTCTCTCGCCGTCTAACGATGATGGCTTTTGTTTTGGCAGTTTGATCGCCTGCGCGTTAAGGCAAATGGGTCATCAGCGTGCCATCAGACAATGGGTCCACCAAAACCGGTGGACCAGAGAGGACCAAGTCCATGGCACATCGTCCATAGCCCGTGGCCCAAACCAATTCCCCGCCGGCGATGAAGCCACGCTTTCGATTTTGTGCTCGTTTTCCGGTCGAGCCAGAGGCACTGGATCCGGGCACTGCCTGCAGTAAAGAAAGCGACTCACCAGCGTCCAAAAAAAAAACGCCAAAAAAATGACAACAAATTTCATTTTATGGCTATGCAAAAGACAGGACAGTGACATCTTGGCCGCGTATAACAATGAAACGCAACGCACTCGATTGCTCGATTAAATAGCCAAATCGATTAGAGCCCTGACCGAAATAATAGGCTCCATATACAAGTAAGACCAATTTCAATAAAAAACATATATCTTTGAAACGGAAGTTTTTAAAGAATAAAATTGAAGAGTGCCTTCGACCGTGTCAGGTTCACTTTAATCTCAACGAAACTGCAATACGTCAGGACTGATTTAATTAACTTAAAAAACCAACTAAATGGAAGGGATACCTTTTTGTGTATTAAGAAAAAACAATTCAGTGATTTACAATTTTTAAAAGTTTTTCCCTGAACGATTTCATGCATATTGCATATTTTTTTCGAGCTTAATTCCCTGCCAGTCAAACCTCAACGAAATTTTCTCGGAAATCAGTGCGTTTTCACTTATTAAATATTCCATGGTGTGCAACAAAAAAAAAATAAAGAAAATTGGCAAGCATAGAGCGATTGATTTTTGCACTCTCTGGCACATTGAATATTTATAAGGAACAATCAATTGCTGGTCAGTTTTCGTTTTATGCGGTATTTTTTCTCTATGTCTAAATGCTTTGATATTCGCAATTTTTTCTCAGTCTGAACTCATCAAATTGATGTTTAATTATTTCGCTCTGCAGTCAAGTTTGATCCATTTTTTTGCTTTTTTTGTTGTGTTGTTTTGCCAAAACGCGGATGGTTGAGTCAAGCTCTGAAAATCTGGGATTAGTCGCGAATTTCGCTTTGACTTTAACGCGACCGTGATGTCAGTGATTTAGTTCAGATACTGACACAGGAATATGTGCATAGCAAATGCGGTGGAATAATGGTTGAACGAAAATAGATGCGCCTCCGCTTCGGACTTTCGGTCTAAAAAAAAATCCCAAAACAGCGAACCGAATAGAGAGGAAATTTTTCAATTAAAAGCGAAAAGTGCATTTTCATGTTGCACGTCAGTCTCTCTTCCAGTTTTGTGGCAATTCTAGAGGAGCAAAACAGACAAAGTCGGAGAGAGTGGGAAAAAGCCACGCCACTCGACCGAAAAATATTTACCATGTCGGCGAACGGGTTGAGCTAGTGGGTGGTTGATTGTAGGTGGGTGGTGGGTGGTGTCATTTGTAGTACCGCCCGCCCCCAGCCCGCCGAATGCTTAAGGTAAGGTCAGGCCATAATTTAAGTTGACAAGCATGACATGGAAATTCCCTTTGGTCGCAAGAGCAGCAGCCGTTGCCATAATCAGGCTGAAACACATGGTTACCTCACAAGCATGTGTGTGTGGGTGTGCGTGTGTGTGTGTGCGTGTGTGTGTGACTGTGAGGAGCTCCAATTCCATGCGAAAGTCGCCTTGGGTGACCAGTTCCTTTGAGAGCCGCGTCCCCTCGACCCGGGCACTCCAAGGACTCTCGTCCGCCCCCGCTGCTCCTGTTTAATTAACACATGCTCAACGAATCGTAATTTAATTGCGGCTTTGATGTTTCCCTCGGGCTCGAACTGAGTCATACAAAAATGGAAGACATTTAAACGCAGGCCGCTAGCATTTTGCCACATACGAAGACCGATCATTGCCAATTTATGGAAATTTCTTCGTTAGAAGAAATTCTTTTGTCTCGTGATTGCATTAATTTAACACTTGAAAACTAATGCCATAGGAAAAAGAAATTAATAAAGTTACTGATTGCTGATTGATTTCGAAGCAAATAGCCAGCTAAGAGAAAGTATTAGACATTAAATTATATCTTGAGTGTTGACCAGACTAAATTGTTGGCTTTGTGCGCATAAACTCATACAATGATTATATCGACGATACGTTTAGATTGTTGATTGTTCCAATGCCAGTGCATGCATCCGGACATACATGCGCTACAAGAAGTAATATAAGCACAGAGTAGCTTACATCTTAATTACATATCGCATATTAATACAATATTAATCATACGCCCTGTTGACACGCGTGCGCTCCCTTGACCGAGCAGCAAACACGTGGCCAAGCACGGCGCATTGCTCATGCAGGGTCCCACCAACCATACGATATATGTCCACAATACAAATGTATATTTGTGTATGGAGGAGGTGCGCGTGTGTGTGCAGGGGGCGTGTGCATATCTAAGCCATGGCCAGTGTTTTGTCAAGAGTGGACAGACCAGCACCCCAACAACGGCAACAACACATATGGCGTTAATAAACTTCTGGCCCCGTGCCTCAGGGTCCACCAACTGAAATGAACTCGGGAAACAAAACGGTTGGAATGGGCACGGCGAACTGGAGACTGGGCGAAGGATCCTAGGGAACCTGGTGGGAGACTCCTTCTGGCGGCGTACATCGCACGTTGTTGGCTTGTGCTGCTTTATGGCCGCAAGTCAATTCTCTGACAAAATGCCAAGCATATTTATTTATTTACTTTTGCTTCCAGGCAGACCAGCGTTGACCACTCCCGAACTTCCCATCCGCCCAGCTGTTTGTATGCTCGTCCACGTCCGACGCTCTCGTCTCGTTTTGCGTCACTTGCCAAGTGTTTATTCAACTTGCCCCACCGAGTATATGAAAAACACAATAAAGTACAAACAGCACAGTGTTGGTGGGCGGTGAGGGGGGCGGGCGGGCGGTGGCAGTGGCAACATAGATGCAATATTAACTCAACCTAAACCAACGAAATTTCTTTCACTTGTTTGAACCTTAAGCTGAAATCAAAGTCATTTTTAAAATGTATTTGGACATTAAGTAGTTAGAGTACTATTTATATCTCGTTTTATTTAAGAAAAAAATTATTTAGACAGCAATCTTTTTTTGCAGATAATTCAACCAACATGTAAGAGTAATACTTCGAAGTGGAAGACAATGCGACATGTTATTAGTATACCTTAGTAAGCATTTTAGAGGCAAAGTCATCCTAGGTGACACAATAAAATGCGGCCGAGAATCGCATAGACCTTAGTTTCAACTCTATCATTTCGGCCATTTGTGTTGTTTAACCCAACTAAAGCTGTCCGAAGCTCGGTAACAATCTGCTACCCAACGACATTCAAACCCGATGCCTTGGAGCCTGTGCGTCCGTGTGTTGATGAAGATTACGTCAGCTGAAAAGTTATTGTTTTGGCCCGGCATTCAGGAAGGCAACTAGGGACAGGAACTTGGCTGTGGGTGCTATGTTCTGGCTGGGAAACTACCATTTATATCCATATACTTGGTGTCCTGCACCACAAAATAGAGTGAAAGAATCAGGCCCAGGAAACGTGCGGCATGTGGGCAAACTGTCGTCTTTCATTTTCGTTTTTCGGTCGCTCGCAAATAGTTTTCGGCATGAAAATTGCGGCCAAATCGAACCAAGGAGGCTGCTATCTACCAAAATGGCCTCTGGCCAAGCGTGAAAGTGACCAGCAGGAGAGAGCCCGAAAATGAAACATTAAAAATAAATCTAAATTGGAGAGCCACAATTTTCCATGTTTTCCTTTTTGTTAGGTCCCCAATAGACAATAGGAATTCAACATTAAATTACGAAAATATTCGGAGCAGGAACAAAAGTGCCACTGCTGCATATTCTCGGTGCGGTAGCGACGCACTGCAAATTTTGAGATATTAAATGAATTTCCAGCTTGTGTCCCCAGTTACAGTTGTCAAATCCTTTTCCCCGACCACCGCCCACATTTTTATCCTTTTAAAATTTCTGGGTGCATAGTTTTGGTTATTTTTTCGGACTCTCGACCACATGGTGACATTCCTGGCAGGAAGTCGGTTCGATGAGGGGTGCGAGCTGCAGAAAGTGGCAGCAGGGGGCGTGGCACGCAATTAGCCAGGCTGTCAACCAAAGTGTTTTCTCTTCCTTTTGCCCGCATCTCTCTGGGTCTCTGTGTGTGTCCGCTTGCATTAGAATTGCTAATTGCCAAAAGTTTCCCAGCTGCAACATTTCTTCTGCTGCTTGAATGCAATCGTTGTCGCTAACATCCCCATCAACGTTGTCTTTCCACTCGTATATATACTATAAATGGAATAAAATTCATATAGATGGTGCTGGAATTGAGACATCTGCTTGAAGTGTAAAACAGGCTTTATGTGCTCCCTGTGATATGGAAGTGAAGGAGAGATAAATTGGAATTTGCTGAGGTGACATTACTTTTAATTCGATTAGTTGTAATATTTTCAAGTTTTTCATTAAAGCAAAAGCCAATGCAGATGCAATTGGAAAGTTTTGCATAAGAAACGAAGGATAAATTGCCAATGCGGAGTAGCCATTTCGCCTGCTCCCGTATCCCGTATCCCGGATCCTTTGGGGAAACCATCGAGCAGGAGACAAACTTTTCAATAGTATGCCACTCCTCCCGTCTTCCCAATTCCCGGTGCTGCCAATGTCTGGCCAATTTTTGTGTGTTTTGCCAGTCAACAACTTTGTTTATTATTTTGCTTCTTTTATTTTCCTTTATTTTGCTTCTTTTTGCAACTTTATGCGGCAACTTTTGTCCAAAAAGGCGACTCTGTGGGCGTGTCACAGTTGTTAACGAAGAGGCAGCGGATTGTAGAATGGTAATATTTTCAACACAAGTCTCAAAAAACACACACAAAGCGCGGAGAAAAGAAGCCACCGCAATGAGAAACATTTTGCGCTTGGAATGGAAATGGAAAATGACAATGGAGCTATGGAAACTTGCCATTCATTCATTACTTAAAAGGGGAGCAGGAGTCTTCGCCGAGTCTTCCGACTATAAAATACCTACTCTAAGAATTCCGGCAGAGCTCTACACTTTTTAATGAAATTGAATCCTTTGTTGTGGCTCGTAAGGTCAGAAGTAGCTGTATTGACTACTTTCAACTAACAATGGGTGCGCTAATTAGCTTTAAAATGCATCTCACCTTGATTGTTGTGTACGCTGGTAATAATAAATAACAAACATTTTCTCCTCATCCAACTTTCCGTCTAATGTTACCAAAAAGTGTGCATATAACACGCTATAAAACAATCTACCTCTGTAGTTATTAAGTGCCAGGTATGAAAACTACCGAAATTTGCGTGGAATTTGCCACAGCAATCGTTATAAAACTTTGTCGAAAGCAACAGCACAAGGGGAGAAAGAAAAGCAGAAGACACAAAGAGGGGAGAAGGAAATAAAATAAAATGAAATGAAAAGAAAATAAAGGAACGGAGCGGAACGGAAACTTTATTTTTACAACTAATTGGCAAACTTAAATGTAAGATTTCGTTTTATTTGTGGGCCGCGACAAAGCTGTTTGAGGCTTCATTAAAAAATTACATTTCTCCAGCTACAGGCGACAGGAGCACAAAGACCCAAGACACTTGGCTGGTCAGGGCAACAGGAAATGGGAAATGGAAAATGGGAAATGGGAAATGGTTAATGGGTAATGGGAGAAGTAAGAAGCCGGCCGACGAGTCCTTGTCCAAGGCTCCGGCCCTGGCAATTTATGACCAACTGGCAATGAAAATATTTGCCACATAAATAAGCCGTGACAAGCTGGAAGGACACATTGACAGGCGATACACGGGCCGGAGGACAGGATATCGGCGGGGTCGCTTACCTGGAAACTTGTACAGGGCCACCTCGTTGCAATTAATCTCAATCAGGGTGCTTGTCTCGTTGGGCAGGCCGGCGCACTGGCACATGGAGTTGAGTGGACAAGCGTAGAGGATGTCCTGCTGCTGTGAGCCCAACAGGGCGGCGGATCCCCTGCCTCCGGACGAGGACGAGGACGGTGCACCCCGGCCGGTATTCCTTGGCCGCCGGTGGCCACCTCCGCCGTCGAACTGCCAGCAGTGCGAGGAGCTGGCCAGGCATGAGATCAGCACCAGATACAGCTGCATCCTGAAAGGAAACGAAAGAGGTGCGCTCTTTAGAAATCTGCGATCTCTAGATAGCATCCTTTAATCTAGTGGCCCCACACCTTTCCTTTATTCGCCCGTTTCATTTCAGCACGCTGGCTCACATACCCGTAAATCCACTGTGTGGAGACACCTTTGCCGGGGGCATTTGTTTATTCGTTGCTGCTTTGCATAAATCACACGTTTGAAAAGCGAAAGCAAATGAAATGGCATAAAATTAACGTTAGTCCACACGCGTTGACTACGCACCGTGGCACAGAAAAAACATGAAACATAAAAATAAATACGAGAATTTCGAATTGAAATTTTGCTACAAAAATAAATCAGCTGCTTGACTAATATTAGAGAAGCGTAGGTACTGATTTTTAAAATGAGCTACAATTTAATTGATTTTCAAGCACAAAATTTACAGCATCTACTTCACCCAAGTTTTAATTGTATTTACAACAATTTTTAGCCCGCACAGCACTTTCTAGACACGAGTGAAACCTAAGCTCCCAAGGATTCTGCTTTCAAGCGCGACGCGTAAAAAACAATTAACTTGATTTAATTGTTTTCGTAATACTTTTGAACCAATGTTGATATTTTGGCTTAAACGAGCAGCCCCTCCCCGCCCCATGCCGCCTCCAACACGCCAAACGACAACGGAGGAAGTTTTCGACTAAAAGCCTGCGACAACTCATGCAAATGAGCCGCAGTCGTGTGACATAGTCCTCTTTTGCCAGCCGAACTCCCTCTCCTCCGACGCCATGCAATCTTTCATACACATGGAAATGCCTAGCCTTAAAAAGAAAATGTGCACTGCGGGAAAATGTTATAGCTCTCAATGGTGGCCATGAAAAAATATTTCATCAATCGTAACTTCTAAGCCAGAATACCAGAAATACGCCTAAATGTCTCGAATTAAATGCAATATTTCTTAAATATTTTCTAATCAGCACTTTTCCAATCACACATTTCTCCCAGCATTGATGAAAGTCAGAAGAAAGTGCGCAACCACAACACGTAGAGCCTCAACAGCCGCAGAGAAGTCGCATATAAAACATGTTTCATGTACGCTAGATGTGTGATGTTTATTTGACACGCCAAAGTATATAATAACAAATAAAAACTTTCGGCTCCGCCATGAAACCATGGAGCCATGGAGCCATGGAGCCATGGAACCTTGCCATACCAGACGCCGCCGACAAGGACGAGTACGGGCCATTAGCACGATTGTTGAGCTTTAAGACTCCCGACGGTTTACCTTGAGTGCGCCAATGTGTGGGTGTGGGTGTGGGTTCGGGTACCGGCGCACATTACGACCAGCCATAAAACTAGGAGCCAAGGAGGAAAACGCTGTGCAGACTGGCACTCAATCCCGCTCCCATTCGCCTAAGTCTGTAAGTTATTTCCAGTCAGCTCAAAGCTTCGGAAAAGTCAAATATATTTTATACACGATGAAATATGGCCAAAAAAAGTGATGTGGGAGGTCAGCACAGCAGAAATTATACGGCTTAGCACTGCGATTGGCTTGCAGGCAGAAAAGCTCCGAAAATCAGTAGCTGTACTATTAGTAAATAGTAGTATAAATAGTAGTATAAATACTATAAATTGTACTATTACTGAAAACGAAAACTAGCCGCCACTTTGCAGATGCCTTGCAATATTTGAATAAATAAATAATTTTATTAGTTCAGTTCTTCGGATTTCGGTATAGGAAAATTCTCCTGCTTGGATCCAAAACTTGATCCCATCCATCATCCGCTTCAATTTAATAGATATATTCTAATTTAATAAATCTTATCCCGCCAGCTGTTTGCCTAAGCTTCCGACTGTCATTTGCCATATGCACAAAACATTAAATTCCGACCGACAGGGGAAAAAGCAATCAGAAAAGCTTCAGTTTGCCGCCCGGCAATTTTGCTGATTGTTTTTCATTACGCTGATGGTGACAAATCGAAGTCTTTCCCATCGCTTGGACCATGTAAAACAAATGATACATCACACAGTTGAGTGCGTATATATAAGTAGTATCAACCTTTATGCACCTTTCCCCACACACACACACATACTTGCGATACATCAGAATGGGAGAAAGTCGAAGAAGTCAGGTTGTCGGACGACGGGCGGCAGAATAAAAACGAAAAAGATAAATATGTCGTAAAAGTTTTTTATTTGCGTTTTATTTTTTTGATACAGAAAATGACTAACTTGTTGGCTGACAGACAAGCAGCAAACAGGCATCGCTTTGGGCCACGAACAAGTGTCGGGCAGAGGGGGGAGTGGGTCTGTGGGTGGATGGGTGGATGGCCAGAGAACGTCTGTCACGCACACACGACCCCCTGCCCCGCAGCTGGACCCTGCAGATGCGGGCGCTGCGTCCATGTGACCCTCAACCTTGTCGGACCAAACTTTTGAAACAAGCGAACGGAATAAATGAATGAGTGAAAAGTTGAATGGAGGAGTGTCATGGATACTCTTTAAAAGGGGGAAAAGCTTTTCAAACATCTGTATTAAGTTGTTGAAAATAAAGTACAGGAACTTAAGTTAGTTAGCAAGTTAGTTTTTCCATTATAATTTTATTATAATACTATATATGTTAAACACCAACAGAACTATCTCTAATTTAATAACTTTTCCTTTTACGTCTTATACGCCTACTGCCATAAAATATGCGATACCCTCTGCCCACTTTAAGATCCGGCCAAGGAGCAAGCTATTCAACAAAGTGTCAATCCCCACAAACACTCCCATTACTGAGGAATCCTTTGCCGCCATCATCTTCCTTTGAGCAGAAGGACGAATGCCACGAAAAGGTCAACAAGAGGCGGGCCGCCGGGCGGGGCAGACCGCAAGTTTTTATTACGCATATAATGCCAGCGATTTGCCAAAAGGAGAGTGCGGGCGGTAGTTTAAGTGGGAGTGGCTCGCAGAGTCTGCATCATTTTTATACTTTTAATTTTTTATGCCGGTGACACAGTGACATGAAATGTCAACGAGCTGCAAAACAAACAGCAGCAGCAGCAGCAGCAGCAGCAAGAAAGTCCTGGACAAGGACCAGGATAAATATGATGAGCGTCCGTTGGGGATGATGTCCTGTTAGTTGACGCCGACGCCGCCGCCGACGGCGCTGTCGGCGTCGACGCGAGCTGCGCAGCGCAGCATGAAATGGGAGCAAAACGTAGCATACATTTGGGAGTTGTTGGCTCGCAGTTTCTCCGCTCGTGTCGCCTCGCCCTATCTCTGTCGAGAATTTGCGAGTTTGTGCGATAATAACATATGTAAGTTGCCTCCCCGCACACAGGGCATGCATATGTGAGCATGTCGGTTTTAAGCTCAGCCCCATAAGCTGCTCCCATTTATGCCCCTGCTCCTGCTCCTGCTCCAACTCCAGATGCCGCCGTTGCTGTTGTAGAAGCCCAAAGCTTTTGCGCCCAAAAAAAGGAAGAAACCCTGATTTTAAAGCCGTCGCTCAGACGGGGATCAAAACTTTAAATGAACTTAACAAACTGTGAGCGTGTATTTAACGCAGCCGAACATGAAAAAGGTTCTTGGGCGCGCGATTACGTGCCAGTAGGTGTGCCCTTTGTATGTACATGTATGTAAGTGGGCTCATTATGTATATAATATCCTCAAGATACATTACACTTAATCGGCGTCAAGTCAATTAAGAATACGGCAAACTTTTGCCGTACTTTCGACAGCAGAACCTTAGTAAAATGGATAAGTTATCATCATGGGCCTGAAATGTTTGGTATTTAATCCAAGTCCTACAGGATATAGACTTCTTAATAAAAAACTAAATAAACAAGTAATTATGAGACACACTATAGCCATTTTAAATACCGATTTATCTCTATTTTGAGAGCCCAAATTACCACATTGCTGGGTACGTTTCTCAATTCCACACTTCACATTTTAACCACATATCGCTTGCCATTTTCCACTATATAGCCGGCCATTCAACTAGCTCCGATTTGCTGGCAAAAGTCTAAGGCCAGTTCTGGCCATATCTCACACCTTGACAGATGCAAAACGATCCATCTTGGGCATTGGAGCTGCACATATGCAGTGGGTTTTATGAAACCATTAGCAGAACGGCGCAAACTTTAGGATACATTCATCTTGCGAGGCGTTTTAAAAAGAAACTCAGCACCGCACTGGTTTGACTCGGCACCGATTCCTTGGCCATATAAATCACACCCCAACCCAGCACAGACACACCAACTGAGATCCACATCCACAGTTTAGTCAGTTCATTCAAGTGTCGTTTATCGCTTTTGCTATTTTGGCAGCGCCTTTCGTAAAACTGTTTTCGGTCATAAATATGCCAATTTGGCAGAGCGACCCTCACTCCCACCACTTTACCCTTAACAAGGTGATTTCCTGGTGCTCGGGAGTTAACCAAAAAAAAAAAAACATACAGCCAACCAGCCATCCGGCTAGTCAGTCAGTCAAGCAGAGTCAGTCAGAACAATAAAAGTAAAATTTATTACTCAAAGTTTATGGCATAGCAATAAATGTATCTTTTCTGCTGAGTATCCCAGTATCTGTATCCATAAATATGCACCCATTCGCACCTAAGTGCGGCAAGGGGTGGTGCCACATGTGGCGCCCAGACCCGCCAACACCCACGGACACCCATTGGAATTATTATGTTACCCCAGCCCAGCCCAATCCAGCCCACGTTCCACCCGGAGCACAACCCTTGATTCAAATCCCATAAAGTTGTCGAGTGTCTGTTGCTGTGATAGTTGCTACTGCTGGCCGTTTCACGTTGGCCGGAGCTGTTTGGCAATTGCCGCATCATTAATCTTACTCACGGAAACGGCGCTTAGGTCAAAGTTTTGAGTTTGGGTAATTTATCTTCGACTTGCCGCAATTATGTGCCCAGACGGTGTTGGATACGAAGGCATACGAGGGGAAAAAACTAGACAATTTTGCACCGTGTGCTGACACCTCCGTTAATTCCAGTCCCTCCGGCAATCAGCGACGCACCT